GGAAACTGTGGGAAATAGCTTAGGGAGATCTCCGTGAGGGAGCGAGACGGAAGCATTGGGGAGAGCTCTGTTGGGAGGGAGCGAGAATGCTGCGTGGACGGACAGGAAAACCTTGGAAATAGCTTGCAGAGAGCTATGTTGGAAGGGAGCAAGCAGCGTGGACGGGCAGGAAACCGTGGGAAATAGCTTGGGGGAGAGCACCATTGGGAGGGAGCCATATATAGTGAGAATGCAGAGCTGTTGGCACGAGTTTTTCAAGACAAATTGCGCCCTTGCGGCCATGGGACATGCATAGCTTCTGTGGCAGGGAGCGAGGCTAAAAGAGCAGAGCTGTTGGCACGGGTTTTTCAGGACAAAGTCCATCGTCCCGAAAAACTGTGCGCCCAAGACTCTTGTCAAATGGTCCAAATGGTCTTCAAACGCTGGGCGATGGGACATGCATAGCTTCGTTCGAGCAACGTGAAAAATGCAGATTGCAGAGCTGTTGGTTGGCACGGGTTTTTCAGGACAAATTCCATCAATACGATTGTCCCGAAACACTGTGCGCCCAAGATTTGTGAAAGTTTCCAAACCCTGGGCTATGGGACGTGCATAGCTTCGTTGGCAGGGAGCGACGCTAAAACAGCAGAGCTGTTGGCACGTGTTTTTAGGACAAATACCTCCAACGCGATTGTGCGGAAAAACTGTGCGCCCAAGACATGTCAAATGGTTTCTAAACGCAGGGCATTGGGACAAGCATGGGGAAAGTTCGTTGCTGGAGGGGATTTCATTTGGCATGACGTTCTGTCCGTCGATGCTTCGTCTTCGGTCCCTTCGCAGCGAAGCAAACTAAACGAGAACCCACGCCTAGGAGATGCGTCAGCATGAACGGACAGGTGGGGAAATAGCTTGGGGAGAGCTCTGATGGGAGGGAGTGGCACTAAAAATGCAGAGCTGTTGGCATGGGTTTTACACAGGGCAGCTTTCACACAAAGGAGCTTTACACAGAGGAGCTTTTACACAGAGTAGCTTGTACACAGGGAGGACTTTAGACACAGAAGCTTTTACACAGAGAACTTTTACACATGAAAGCTTTTACACACAGAAGCTTTTACTCTGAGAAGCTTTTACAGTGAAAAGTCTTGCGCAGAGGAGCTTTTGCACAGAGCAGTGTTTACACAAAGGAGCTTTTACACACAGAAGATTTAACACGCAGACGCATTTACACACAGAAGGTTTTACACACAGACACCTTTACGGCGCACAGAAGCTTTTACACAGAGCAGCTTTTACAGAGCGAAGCTTTTACACACAGAAGCTTTTACATTTTTACACAGAGAAGTCTTTAGACAGAGAAGTCTTGACACAGAGAAGCTTGTACACACAGAGGCTTTGACACAGAGAAGTCTTTTACAGAGAGAAACCTTTACACAGAGGAGCTTTTACACACAGAAGCTTGAACACACAGAGGAGCTTTTACACACAGAGGGTTTTGCACAAAGAAACTTTTACACACAGAAGCTTTTACACACAGAAACGTTTATATACATACAGAGGGGCTTCGCACACAGAAGCTTTTGCACACAGAAGCTTTTACACGGGAAAGCCTTTACACAGAAGAAGGTCTTACACACAGAAGCTTTTACACACAGAAGCTTTTACCAAAAAAAGCCTTTACGTAGAGGAGCTTTGACACACAGAGGGGTTTACACAGAGGAGTCTTTACACACGGACACGTTGACATACAGAAGCGTGTAAGCACAGAAGCTTTTACACAGAGTAGCTTTTACACCAAAAAACCTTTACACAGAGAAGTCTTGACACAGAGAAGCTTGTACACACAGAGGCTTTTACAGAGTGAAGCCTTTCACACACACAAAAGTCTTTACACAGAGGAGGTTTTACACAAAGGCGATTTACACAAAGACGATTTACACACAGAAGCTTTTACACACAGAAGGTTTTACACACAGAGGCCTTTAGGGCGCACAGAAACTTTTACACAGAGCAGAGCAGCCTTTGCACACAGAAACTTTTACACAAGAAAGCCTTTACACAGAGAAGTTTTTACACACAGAAGCTTTTGCACAAGGAAACTTTTACACAGGAAAACTTTTACACAGAGAAGCTTTTTACACCGAGAAGTTTTGCACAGAGGAGCTTTTACGCACAGACGCCTGTCTTTACACAAAGGAGCTTTTGGACACAGAAGCTTTTACACACAGGCGCGTTCACACACAGAAGGTTTTACACACAGACACCTTTACGTCGCACAGGAGCCTTTACACAGAGGAGCTTTTACACAGAGAAGCTTGTGTACACAGAGAAGTTTTTGCACACAGAAGCTTTGACACACAGACGCGTTTACACAGAAGCTTTTGCACAAGAACACTTTTACACAGGAAAGCTTTTACACACAGAAGCTTTTACACAGAGTAGCTTTTACACAGAGAAGCTCGCAAACACAGAGGCGCTTTTACACAGAGAAGCCTGTTACACAGAGCAGCTTTACTCAGAGGAG